CATCATGTCGACCATGATGTCCTTCCACTCGTCAATGGCCTGCTGGGTCGCGTTATCCTGCGTCAGGGCGCACAGGTCAACCTTGCAGAACTCTGGAGCGGTGGGGTGAGGTGGAAATAATCATATGATTTGGCCTTCGTACTCTAAATGCATGCTTGGTACTTGTAGTGGCATGAGTGTTATAACAACCAGTTGGTCCAAAGATTGATAATTGGTACAAACATCTATTTATTTTTTACATATGTATTCATTTTTTCACATGTTTTTGCCTCATTCTATTTATAAAACGAAATATACTGGTTATTGCAGTATTGTTCTTTATTCAGTGCTGGTGTCTAGCTTAATGAAATCAAGAAATTTTTTTCGATTTACGGGCAGCAACCGTCAGCAAAGCGGAACGTGGATTGTGTCCTTCATAAGACGCCCCGCCGAGAAGGTCCAGGCACTCCTGCAGGAGCTCTTCCTCGAGGGCGTCATCACAGGTACTCTTGAGGGGAATAAAGTCACGGTGAAGAAGCAGCTATTGGAATCATCTCAACGGCAAGGAAGCTCACTAAGAGTTATGACTTCAAGTTATTTTTTGCAGTTATTAGTGAGAGAAGACATATAATTATGATCTTGACGTATGGTAGGAACTTTAGCATTTTGAAACTTACCGATACATCAGTGACAGGAGCGCTTCTCTTGACGGGACGGGTCTGTGAAAAAGGGGTATAATCTACATCGACACCCATCGTTAATCTTGAACAAGTTTAGAGTAAATGCGAACAATAGAATTAGTTTTGTGTCAGAAGCGACAGCTGCTGCTGCCATTATCTACGGTATATTCTTAAAACAAAAAGCAATATCTCCTTTTTTAGTGGAATTATCATTGCTATTCCCGTTATTGCTGTAGTCATCTGTTAATCAGCCATATTACGATTACCAATGGTTCTTGAACTTGGTTGCCCCACGCGTCAATATCCTCCTGCGAGACTGGAAGGAAAGTGAAGTCCCTCGGTGCATCGCCCAACTCGAACTTGGGGTCAGCTAGACACAGGCCCTCCAGGTCTCCGAGGATGGCGTCTTGGGCCCAGACGTACATTTCCCATCCGCAGAAGGCCACCTGAGGAACGGTATCCATGTTTTGAAACTACTATGGAATCCTTGGTCTTCGCTTAAGAACTACTTTGCAAAACCTTGATTCGGCAGCAAGGAATTAAGAAATAGAAAAAATAAACTGAACTACCAATGCTATTTTCAGCTCATCTGGCAGAAGACGTATTTGTTTCCATTAAAAGCAACCCTAAGACCAGGAAAATATTCATGATTTTTTTTCTCTCTGCAAAATCGACATTGCAAGTGAAAAGAGTACTTTCCCCCACTGAACATATGCATGAGCTACGTACCGCGATACCCTGAGTCCCTATAATGCGAATGCAGTTGTAGCCATGTTTCCACGCGAGGACCGGGTGGACGACTCCCCCGGCGGACTGCACGTTCTGGACAACATCGGTAACATCGAAGAGGAAACCGTTCACAGAGATCTAGAGAAGATACAGATTGTCAGTTTTAAGGAAAAGAAATATTACATATGTGTGTGTGTGTGCGCGCGTGCATATATACATATACATACATATATACATATATATATATATATATATATATATATATATATATATATATATATATATATATATATATATATATATATATATATATATATATATATATATATATATATATATATATATATATATATATATATATATATATATATATATATATATATATATATATATATATATATATATATATTACATATTATATACTGTATGTATATATGAACACACACACACACATATATATATATTCACATACTCATTTGCACATAATTATATATATATATATATATATATATATATATATATATATATATATATATATATATATATATATATATATATGTATATATGTATATATGTATATATTATATATATATATATATATATATATATTTATATATATATTATATATTTATATATTTATATATATATATATATATATATATATATATAATATATATACATATATACATATATACATATATAATATACATATATATAATATATATATTATATATATATATATATATATATATATATATATATATATATATATATATATATATATGTCGAAACCAATAATGACTCGACATTTAAAAGATGCACTGATTCTAATTGTAAAGATGTATATACCCCCACTGAAAATGCTTATTCATATATTTTTGTTTTTATAGTCTATAATATAGCAAAAGTTTGTGTTTAATAGAATACATTATAATAATCATTTATAAATTGTTTATTTCAATGTTAACAGTTCAAAGGGGAAAAGTAATATGCGTGGATACTGTTGGTCCTATCAGACAGTTCTGATCTCTCCCTGTGTACAGGTATGTCAAGTGCTGGTATCAAAAATCGATTTGCTCTGATATAGATTGCAATGCTTGGTAGGTGAATTAACAATCATGGAATTCCTGTGTACTGAATTCTGATAAGATGGTGTCCTGCTCTCCTCCCGTGCACAGAGAGAAGGAAAGGTTAAAAAAGAGGCCATGCCATGTGCTATGATACCTGCCTTATTACCAGGAAATATCTATTAATATTCTTTTCTTTGTGGCCTGTGTTTATATAAAAGCCATGGAATACGTCGAAATTGATAATTCTGGCTGTATCAAGTTATGAATTGTAGAGGGAAAAATGGACCAAAGTAGAATGATTGAGCCATTAGTACTTATGGCATAGCATTTGAACATCTGAGTTGATTCCACCATATGCTCACCATAGATAGGTAATATCCACGGAGCTCGTTAAATCCTCGTTGCACATTCCATTTGTTGGGTCACGTTGGGCCATACTCTAAGCAGCTGAGGTTCGTGTCCATTAATATTCATTTCCCCACAACCCCTTTATTTTCTAACAAAATCTGCAATCTTTTCCTCATTTTCTCTTTCGCATTTTTCTCTAATCTTTCCACCTTTTTTTCTCTACATCATCCCTTTTCCGCCTTCCCTCCTTGTCGACCCTTTCTCTTTTCCCATTCCTTACCTTGTTCACGTGATTTCTGTCGAAAGTGATGACTGTGCCTGGATTATCTCTGTACGTAATAGTGTCCAGACAGGATATGAAGGGAAAGCACTGATAGAATTCACCAGTCACTCCGATTTCATTGACGTTCCTTGCGATTTTGTAGCTACCCGTGCCGTGGAAGTCGAAGGCCCAGGCAAAGAAATCGATGAAGTGGGGGTCATTTCTGATTGAACACATTGAACCTGTTGGGGGAAGAGTGAGCTTATCAGTCCTATGTGAAGTGGAATCGACCTTCCATGAGGTAAGAGGCAAGAATCACTGATTTTACTCGATTAATATACAACTGAACATAATATGATAACTTTGAGGTCCGTAAACAGTGTTTATATACATGTGGTCGCATATATCAACAACTTAACATAAGCATGTATTCAAATAAAATGCCACACACAAGCTCACACAGGGAGCGTTTGTCTAACGAGAAGTCAGGGACCTTACATGTGTTGTTTATACTCCCTGTCGGCTCCCACGTGCCTCCCACACACTCAAGGACCAAGCAACTGATTCCAATCTTTTCTCCGTTTGAGTACATCTTCCCGTCGAAGGTGCAGTCTGGAAAAAATAATTTGCATGAGGGGAAATAATGCGATGGAAATATATGTTAATTGGATCATTTATCTCATACACTTATTTTGTAGAACTACATTTCTGTCATAAATAAATATATATATATATATATATATATATATATATATATATATATATATATATATATATATATATATATGGAATCACTAATTTGCAAATCTTGAGTGATTTCATTAATGATAACAATACCATCAATCACACATAATGGATTTGTTACCAAAAAATTTACAGAAATATATTTGAAAACGATAACCTTAATAAGAACGTAAGAATAAAAAAAAATTATTACTGTGTTCATGATATAATCGTCCTTGTGTAATAGATATGATAAGATATATGATATGCAAAAAGTACAAAATATTTGATATATAATTCAATGGCAACATAACCAGAATTGCGTAGTTTTCCAATTTCAAAAAATGAGTACTATGAATACTATTTTGATTAATAGGCACTGAAAACGTGAAAAGAAAAAAATGTTTCACAAATGTGTCTTGTAAAAAAGAAAAGAAAAAAATATGAGAGATTTCCCCAAACCTCACAAACTCATTTGTTGGAGCTTCAGTTAATGTTAAAGAGAAAAAAATATATTGATGTAACGCTATGTGCATTCCGTATGAAAAATCTAAAAATAAATGTATCAAGCACTGAAAATAACTGACTGGAAACGATTTTGCAGAATCTCACACGCTCACGTTTTTTGGAACTAGTCGCTATCTAAATCTATCAGTCAATAAATCAAATCATTGCTATGATCATAGAAAAAACGGTTCGCATAGAATACATATAGTGTATCAAATATATACCAACTCAATTATATAATATATCACGTAATAAGGCATAAATGAAAGAGATTTCCCCGGATTTCCCAAACTTACTTTGTGTATGTTCAGGTTTCGCTAAAAAAAAAAAGAAAAATAAATACTATGAACATAATTGCATATCATTGTATATTACATTACCTATATGAAACTGAAATATGTAGAGGTTGCATTATATCCTACATGTATATATGCAATCGTACCTGTGTAATACGTATAGAGTTAAGATACATCATAAGCAAAACAGTACAGTACATATGATATACAATATAGAATGGCGGTATAAACAGAATAGTGTATATTTTTCCACATTTCTAAAACTCATGACAGTAGTGTAGTAATTAATAGGCACAAAATATACGGAAAATATGTTTCATGAATGAGTCACATCAAAAAAATAACATAATGTGAGAGATTTTCTCAAACTTCACAAACTCACTTGTTGGAGCTCCAGTTGCTGTCA